TATTTGAAGAAAATGCATTTGTTTTAATTTCTGAATGCTGAGTTATTGTAGAAGTTACAGAATTTTCATCGGATTCCAACTCTTCATGTTTTTCCGAGGCGCTTTCAGTTTCTATGTCAACTATTGGTTTTCCAACTTTAGCCATTTCTCCAACTTCATAGTGTAATTCCTTAATAGTGCCGGAATAACGTGATGTAATTTCTACACTAGCTTTGTCGGATTGCACTTCACAAATTTTTTCAAATTCGCTGATCTGATCTCCAGGCTTAACAAACCTGTAATGAAAATAAATTATTAAAAAGACTTATTTCACTTTACCGGATGAAGATGAGTAATTAATATTCCAACCATTGTATGATTTCGCATTCGTTTATTCCTTCACCAATATCAGCCAGCAAAAAAGGAACTATTGCGCTACGTAGATAAGAAGTATGGAATTCACGAATACGAAGATCCTTTATTTTCATCGAAAAGGAAGTAAAACCTGACTAATTGGAGTCGTATAATTGATCAATAGCAAATTTATCTCATATTTATCGTTTCTACTATGTAATGATTAACAAGATTCTTACATTCTCGAAATGTCTAATTCGGGTTGCATTTATGAGTCGACTGTAAAAGATATGCCTCAAATGGGAAATCTACTGAAAATGGGTTATAAATTACTAGGACTATCAAGATAGTGTATATGGCAGTAAAGTAACGAATACATATATTCTAATTACTAAACACGAAACCCTTAAATGAAGACCGAATAATCAAATCAGGCTTACCGCCATGCTGCTTGATCTATTGTAATGCGATAATGATCGTAGGCATTTTGTACAAAAAAATCGATTAATCTGTGCTGACATGGTTCAAAAAAAACAGAGAAAAGGAAGGCGAATGAATGTATCAAAATGCAAGTTCGTGTTAAACAATCTTATGCAAGGACTGGTATAACGAATACGTAGACTATGTCATATCCTTCAAAATTTCGCCGTTCACTAATTTTACCCAGGTTTCACGATTCTGGCCAATCAGATGGCAGGGTCAGGTGTAACACGGATCGGATCGAAAAATCAAATCGGATCCTTGTTGCTGCTATTTTCATAATTTCTGGAACACCTGATAAAAATTGACCGAATGGTTCTCCAGCCGATTCGATTAAGTTTGTACGTAATTTCGGAATAATAGATTCAATAAAAATACAAAATTGTACATATGCACGTAAGTACGTACATACGTAACTTTTACATTAGCAATTAAATAGTGCGAAAGTTTAATCAAATTACACAATGTATATGTGTAACGTAATTTAAATCCGTAACTATCATGCCGAAATCAATGACTTAATCGGAACGGCCGAAAAATCATTCGGTCAATTTTTATCAGGTGTTCCAGGAATTATGAAAATAGCAGTAAATAAATTGAACCGGGATATGCACCCGGAAAATGGCACATAGGCAGCAGAAGCGGTGTAGCATAGTGGTTTCCCGCCTGCGTTACGCAGGCCAGCCGACAAATGAAATAAGCAGTTGCCACGAAAAATGGCAGGATTCGAACCATTTCAACTTGATGTGCTAGGAATATTTTGATTTAGAATTTTCTTTTTTCTTTTTTTTTTTTTCTTGCCGAATTGGGTAATACTGTATTGTATCGTAAGGCATTTCTTGGGAGGGTCGCGAATGTAGGGTGAGTGGCACTAAGGTCATTGGCATGCCAGGGTGGCATGCCTATGGTGGCATGCCATAGGCATGCCCAATGTAGGGATGTTAACGGAGTGCTCCAGGGTGGTGTGGTGCATACTCTGGCAGTGTATTCCTTAACACCACGCCATACTGGAGTATTCTATCACAGTATACTTCGGAGTGTAACCCAGAGTATAATCCAGAGTATAGCCCTGAGTACTGAAGTACTGTTATAATTTACTGTAAACGATAAGAGGAAAAATATATTATACTAGCATTCCTGCACATTCTTACGGATGCGCAGTAGTCTACAAATTAATGAACGAAAAGAAATTGAATGAGAAGAAACAGTCTATTTCATATCTTAATCAATAAATATAAACTAATTAATAGTTGATGCAATCTTCAAATGTTCACATTTAAGTACAAACCGGGCTTTGGGCTTTTGAGTTTATGACTTGACTTAACGGACTTAGCACCTGAAAAATTAGATTATTGTTATTGTATCAATTGATCAGACTTTTCAGGGGCTGAATCCGTTAAATTACAATCTCAAAAGCCCAAAATCCGGTTTTCTCTTGGTGTCGCTCACATGTATTTGTTCATGTGCTTGTATAAGTGAGCCTTTTAACGGCATTTTAATAATACTCCAGAGTATAAGCCACTTTATTTTAATAGCATTACTTTAGAGTATTTACTCCTATTAATAGTATCTTAATAATCTGGGTAGTGTTATGCCTAAACCACACCGGTATGTAGTGGGTTATACTCCACAGTTACTCCAGAGTATCTTCCGGATCTGAAAGCTGATAGAAGCCATGTCTGAACTTTCGTATATTTTCTCATGACGTTGACCTTTGTTATGCTACTACACTGGCGATCATAAGTAGTGCAACAAAAAAAAAATTTTACTTAGATCATACTACCTCCCGCAATTCCGGCCATATCGGGTAGGTTTTTTTTTATTTTATTCGCTAATACCAACGTTTTCATCAATAAAAAAAACCAAAAAAATTTAATGACCAAAATTTTTCACGGGCATAAGCTTTACTTCAAATGCCGTGTTGCATTACTTTTGCTCGTTTTTGCAGCAACACAACTGTAAAACAAAAAAAAATTTTTTTACATAAAAAAAATAATTTTTTTTTTCTATTTAAAAATTATCTACCTTTACCATCGGGTGTACCCACCCTGAGCCTTAATTACAGCACGAATTCGGTCTGGCATTGAACGAACTAACCTTTTACAGGTTTCAACATCAATCACCTGCCAGACCTCTTGAATCTTTTGCCAAAGATCCATCTCACTTGAAATTTGTCCAGAGAGACGCCTCAACCGACAGTCAATTTCATCCTACAGGTTTTCGATCGGATTTAGGTCGGGGAATTGGGGGCCAATTGAAGAACTTAACCTTATTCCTCCTAAACAAACGTTTCATCAAGGTTGCCATATAACAAGTTGTTCCATCTTGTTGGAAAGTTACCTCCCTAACATCAAATTCTTGTTTTCTGATCATCTACATCAGGTCTTCGCGAAGTATCTGCTGATACAAGTTGCCGTCCATCATGCTGTCAACCTTACAATAGCTACCAACACCACAGGCACTAAAGCACCCCCAAATCATAATAGAACTACCTTCATATTTAACAGTGGGCTTTACTTGGAACTTGTTCAACGGTTCTCTGTGACACTTTCAATAGTATTGCTTACCATCCGATTCAAAAATCTTGAATCTTGATTCATCAGACCAAATTATCTTAGACCAATTGTCGATGGTCCAATTTTCGTATTTTTTTTGCAAAAGCGAGCTGCTCTTTTCGTTGTTTGTCATTCAGGTATAGTTTTTTTTCACCCCCGACACTAAACTATGACTTTGAAGTATACGGCAAATAGTAGACACTGAAATATCCATATTTTTATTTTTTCTGAAGTAAGCCCTCATTTCAACAGTGGTGGAGCACTTATGAGAGATAATGAGATTCACTATCCTTTTTTAGGTTGGTTCGCCTAACAAAATTGGTGACCAACCTTTGCTAAATCTTCAAGTGAGCGGTTTGTTGACTACCTTTTTTAATTCACAAAACTGTGAAAAAAGAAATATTATAGGCCCGACTTACTGCCCTTGTCCTATACCCTTTCTGGAGCAAAAGTAATACTTGGGCTCGTTTGCCAGAAGTTGTTCTGCTCTTTTTTTTTCTTGATTATCAATCAATTTTAGCATTGTACAAGATGCAAAATTAACAATAGAATTGCCATTTTTATATTTATTTATATCGTACAAATTGTGTGATCTGGTCTTTGTTAAAAACAAGCAAAAGTAATACAACATGTGTTTTGTAATACACACATGATTATTTTTGCATCTGTATTAATAATGTCTACTAAAATTTTAAAATTAAAAAAAGGTACTATTAGTGAATAAATAAAAAAAAACTACCTGATATGGCCGGAATTGCAGGAGGTAGTATAATCTAAGTAAAATTTTTTTTTGTTGTATTACTTATGATTGCCAATGTAGTACCTCTCGTAATTACTGAATCTGGAAGTTAATAAAAAGTCATAACTATACTTTATTTTCTATGACACTATTTTTTCTGCATTGCTCAGAGTTGCATTGGCCTGGTAAGCATTGCATTCTTGCTTAGGCATCTTTTCAATCTGTTGACTGTCTGTCAACTTGAAAAAATAATATTTTGCTTTGATTTTTGCTTTGATTTTCATCTTGACTTTGATTTGATTTTTACTTAGACTTTGACTTTGACTTTGACTTTGATTTTCATTTTACTTTCATTTTGACTTTCACTTTGACTTTCATTTTGACTTTAACTTTGATTTTAACTTTAATTTTCACTTTGACTTTCATCTTGACTTTTGTTTTAACTTTTGTTTTGACTTTGATTTATGGTTTGACTTTCAGTTGACCTCTAGTTTGACTTTCATTTTAACTTTCGTTATGACTTTTAAATTGACTTTTGTTTTATTTTAGCTTTGATTTTGAGAATATTTATTATATTTAATTCACAAAATAAAATGCATCATATTTTACAAGCAAAACAATTTATTTAAATAATAAAATACGAACCAAATATGATACAGTCAAACCTCTCTATAGTCACACCTTCAGGATACAAAAAACTGTGATTATAAAGAGGTGTAACTAATATAGAGGTATTTTTTATATTGCTATAAATAATTGGTAAAAATAAATTTGTAATTATACTAATTTTGTGACTATAGAGGAGGTGACTATAGAGGGGTTTGACTGTAATTAATTACATTGCTAAAATTGTATAGTTATTCGATGTCTCTTATTATTTGTGTTAATTTGGATAGTAAATGTAAAAGACTTTTTAATTAATTAAAATAAGTAATTCAAGTTTGTAAGCATTTACTTATTTGATTTGTATTAATTTAGCTAATTGAGTGAGTATATACTTGTTCATATTAATTTATTGTGAGTATATATAATATCAAAAAATTATTATTAACAAACTTAAAATATAAGCATTTTGATCAGGAATTAGTAAAATAAAAATTCAGAAATTCAGAATTGGATAATATATTTAAGCTAAATATTGTTTTAAAGAAATGGTTATCAGTTCTCAAAATGGGTTCTGGAGAATATTTTTAATTATATACTATACAGAAATTTGAATGTTTTAATATGCTGTTACTACACCGTAATTATATAGTAACTATATAGTTATTAATAAATTTAATAGTAATTATAGTTATTATGCAGTTACTGTATATTAAGAAATTTAAGTTTTTGTACAGTACAGTATTAGCCTATGATCTGTTATAACCTACTGCTAATTATATATTATGATCTTATGACTTGTTATAACTTATAAAATTTATTATTATATTATGATCACCTTGATCATATAAAGTTGAATATAACTTAAAATAGTCAACACTAAAATAGTAGTATATATTCACTTTAAAGTTTTAAGAGGCTTTCACAGCAGTTCCTTTTTGGGGAGAATATTCTGATAGCTAAGTTGATCAGGAGGTTTAATTAAATAACTCAAGTAATAGTAGGTTATAGGTATAGCATCTAATGTAGTATTTAGTAATAGGGAACTACTTAATTAGATGCTCAAAAGACGCAGATATGACTAGAATGTATCCTTATTAATGTAACAAAGTCAGGAATAGTCTATATGGTTGTTCTGATATTTGATCCAAAGTTCAATAAAACATGTTAGACCTCAAAGTGGTCACCTTAATATTAAAAAAAAAAAATACAACTTTATCAGCAATCAGTTTTCAAAATTGATATAAGTCAACAAAAAATTTAACTATCATTTTTTTGAGACAATACTATGTAAGCTTTTATTTAAAATTGATAAATTTTTTATTTTGATTCTATATGAATAAATAATTAAAATCAAAAATTTTTATCAAGTTTAGACAGATAATTGTTGAGATATTTTCGGTTTGAAGATTAGAAAGAACTTGAATAATTATTAAAAGCTGCAGCAAAGTTTTATTCAAACTTTGAGCAAAGATATCTTGACAAATATTTATCTAAATCAATGAATTTTTTTATTTCAATTTTATATGCCAGTATAATTAAAATAAAAAAATTTTCATCAATTTTAAATAGGTGATAGTTGAGATATTTTCGTTTAAAGTTAAAACAAGTAGTAAAATTTTTTCTGAACTTTGAGCAAAAAAATTTTTTTTATTCTGATTCTATATCCCTGTATAATTAAAATAAAAAAAAATTTTATTGATTTTAGATGGTTACTAAAATATCTTTAAAAAAAATTAATTACAATTGAATAATTTCATCCAATCAGATGTGACTATTCAAGTAGAATCTTATATGACTAGGAACCAGAAACCAGTTTAAGTTCAGAGCTTATTATTGTCAAATTACACAAACATATAAACGTGTATAATTTTTTTATACAATGTACAAATATAAACATGTGGCATTACAGACGGAAAATGCTGAAACTACTTTTTTAATCTTTTTATTATAAATGTAATTTCAGTCATCAAAGCATATAGAAGTCCTTCGCTTTGCTCCGGACAATTATAAAGAATACATTTTAAAAATTATATGATCATTCTGATATAGCTTAATGGTTAGAATGCAGGTCCATAGATTGCACTAACTACAGGTTCGAATCTGGCTGATGCCAGGATCTCCATACTCATAGTGAAGATTACCTAGTTTGAAATATCAGGTAATCGTTGAGCCCAAAATCATGATTATTGTGAATTTGTTTTACAATAAAATTAATCTCATGATCAGATGATTCGATTTTATTACAAAATTACTGGTGTACTTTATTGGTATATATTTTTTTTTAAGGGTTAGGATTAGGTTTTAAGGTAGGTTTTATAATAAACAAGTACAAGTAGATTTTAGGAGAATAAATAGAAACTCCTTATTTTATTTTAATCTGATTTTATTATGATCCATGACAGTTACTTTTTCACAGTTAAATATTATTAGAATTTTTAATAGTAAATTCTAAAAATCTGCTAATATACTACATAGCTAACTAAATGCTATTATATTACTGTATTTAAAATAAACTTGATTACTTATTTATTTATATTGATTAATAAATTTTAAAGTTAAAATAGTAGCAATTACAAATATTACTAAAAAAATGATGCTGCCAATGATGATTCCAATAATTAAGCTAGCGTTAGTATTTTTTGGATTAATAGAATTTGCAGTAGTTGTAGCATTTGCAGTAGTTGCAGCATTTGGAGTGAATTCAGTAACCTATCTATAGGAATCTTTTTGCTTACATTTAATATAAATATTTTTGATGAAAAGTTCGAAAAAACACCTATTAAAAAATAAATGTTAAATAAAAATATATATAGGCGGATTTTAACGATTTCAGGATCTTCAGATGTGATAATTAAAAATTGATCTACATATATATTTAGTATTTATATATACGTAATAATAATACAGCAGATAAACAAATCACTTTTTGTATATACATTGTGACAAATGGTTTCAACATATCTTTGCTATCTTTGTCTACCCAATTTACGTTATTCATATCGATCTCAAAGTTCTCTTGTTAAATATGAAAAAACTAAACATCAGAATAATAAAATTATTCCACATTTATATACTATAATTGCGCCCTCAAGCTATGATATTGAACAGTTTAGAAATGCGTTTATTATTCAAGTGAAAAAGTGTCTTCAGTTTGGTCGAAGTAAAGTCAAAAACAAAACAATTCGATTAGAACCTTTTTCTGAAGGATTATTTATTATTTTCTTCTATTACATTTCTACTTTTTACTTTGCTGCATCACAAAAAAAATATATTGTTAGTTTTAATGGAAGTGCTAGTTATAAGGAGTTGGGAAATTTATTAAATAATGATAAATGAGTATATAAAGAAGATGGATCAGGAACTGTCACTTATATCTTGATGGAAAATAAAACTGGAACATATCAAATTAATCTTACTTGAAAAGAACATGTATATAAAAAACATCATTATTCTTTATTATGTAGCTTAATGATATGTTCATTTCAAATTGACGTTCAAGATTTTGTTTCTGAATAAGGTAATAAACTTTTATTGAATATATTGTATTTTATAATTATTTATTTAATTTTTAATATGAATAACTTTATGTGAATAGGTTGTAGGAACATTATAAATTCAATAATAAATTTGTTGATTTTCATATTTCATAATATCATATACTACAGGTTTATGAATTTTACCACCACCCATCGTTGTTTCAGAAAAAAAAAGTTATATCTAAATAGTATAAATTTTAGTAAATATGTAAATAAGTTATGTATAGAAAGTATTTTAAATAAAATAAAAATTTTTTACATGTTCATGATTTTTTTTTCGAAACTGGAAGTTGAAAATAAGCGTAATGACATTCCTTTGTTTTTCAAATCACGCATAAACTTAGGCATATATTGAGCTAACATATACATATATGGTGTTACATTTTTTTTCGAATACATTCCTTGTTGTTGATTTGGTGAATTAAATTTTCCAATTGTGGATTAGCTAAAATCTCTAATCCATTGTTTTGTATCATTTTCAAATTTATCAATTTCTATATCAGTTAAATTTTGTTGACGTATTATATTGTAAAGTCTGTAAAATTCACGCCAAAGATGTTCTATTTCTTTTTCTCTATTCAAATTAAAAAATTTGGATATTTGAAAATTTTGTAATATTTTAAGTTTGTTAGGGCCCATTAAAGGAGTCCATGTCCATGAGCTTGAATTAGTTATAGGAGAAAAAATTCAAAATATACACTAATTCAGTTCATCTCAGCGATTATTAATTTGCTTATTATTTTTGCAAATTTTTTTCGATCTGCTGAAAGTTCATAAAAAGCACATTGTAATAAAATGTCTGATATACATAACATAGTATATAATTCATCAGAGATCCAATTGCCTTGATTAACAATATTGAAAAGCATTGAACGCTTAAGCCCTATTAGTTAATAATTAGTTGTAATTATATAATTTAAATAAATTTAATACAATATACTAAAATTAAAAAAATTTTTACCACAAGTATTTAAACTATTATTCCAATTTAATTCCATATTAGCATGTTCACTTTCATGACAATTACAAAACAAACAAAAATAATTTGAGTTGGCTGCATTAAGCCCTAATACAAGCATCAGAAACTTCCAATCTCCTGAAAAAAAAAATTCCACAGGCCATATGTTTCCTAAATTATCAACGAATCCAGTATTCTTTAATTCTTTAAGCTCTTGAGCGAATTTTTGATAAATACAATTTAGTGAATTGTAATTTTCTTTGCCAATGTACAAACAAATACTTTAAAATAAAAAAATAGTAAATTAGATTTAATAAAATAATAGTAATAATAATAATAATAATAATAATAATAATATTAATATTAATATTAATATTATTATTATTATTATTATTATTATTATTACTATTATTTTATTAAATCTAATTTACTATTTTTTTATTTTAAAGTATTTGTTTGTACATTGGCAAAGAAAATTACAATTCACTAAATTGTATTTATCAAAAATTCGCTCAAGAGCTTAAAGAATTAAAGAATACTGGATTCGTTGATAATTTAGGAAACATATGGCCTGTGGAATTTTTTTTTTCAGGAGATTGGAAGTTTCTGATGCTTGTATTAGGGCTTAATGCAGCCAACTCAAATTATTTTTGTTTGTTTTGTAATTGTCATGAAAGTGAACATGCTAATATGGAATTAAATTGGAATAATAGTTTAAATACTTGTGGTAAAAATTTTTTTAATTTTAGTATATTGTATTAAATTTATTTAAATTATATAATTACAACTAATTATTAACTAATAGGGCTTAAGCGTTCAATGCTTTTCAATATTGTTAATCAAGGCAATTGGATCTCTGATGAATTATATACTATGTTATGTATATCAGACATTTTATTACAATGTGCTTTTTATGAACTTTCAGCAGATCGAAAAAAATTTGCAAAAATAATAAGCAAATTAATAATCGCTGAGATGAACTGAATTAGTGTATATTTTGAATTTTTTCTCCTATAACTAATTCAAGCTCATGGACATGGACTCCTTTAATGGGCCCTAACAAACTTAAAATATTACAAAATTTTCAAATATCCAAATTTTTTAATTTGAATAGAGAAAAAGAAATAGAACATCTTTGGCGTGAATTTTACAGACTTTACAATATAATACGTCAACAAAATTTAACTGATATAGAAATTGATAAATTTGAAAATGATACAAAACAATGGATTAGAGATTTTAGCTAATCCACAATTGGAAAATTTAATTCACCAAATCAACAACAAGGAATGTATTCGAAAAAAAATGTAACACCATATATGTATATGTTAGCTCAATATATGCCTAAGTTTATGCGTGATTTGAAAAACAAAGGAATGTCATTACGCTTATTTTCAACTTCCAGTTTCGAAAAAAAAATCATGAACATGTAAAAAATTTTTATTTTATTTAAAATACTTTCTATACATAACTTATTTACATATTTACTAAAATTTATACTATTTAGATATAACTTTTTTTTTCTGAAACAACGATGGGTGGTGGTAAAATTCATAAACCTGTAGTATATGATATTATGAAATATGAAAATCAACAAATTTATTATTGAATTTATAATGTTCCTACAACCTATTCACATAAAGTTATTCATATTAAAAATTAAATAAATAATTATAAAATACAATATATTCAATAAAAGTTTATTACCTTATTCAGAAACAAAATCTTGAACGTCAATTTGAAATGAACATATCATTAAGCTACATAATAAAGAATAATGATGTTTTTTATATACATGTTCTTTTCAAGTAAGATTAATTTGATATGTTCCAGTTTTATTTTCCATCAAGATATAAGTGACAGTTCCTGATCCATCTTCTTTATATACTCATTTATCATTATTTAATAAATTTCCCAACTCCTTATAACTAGCACTTCCATTAAAACTAACAATATATTTTTTTTGTGATGCAGCAAAGTAAAAAGTAGAAATGTAATAGAAGAAAATAATAAATAATCCTTCAGAAAAAGGTTCTAATCGAATTGTTTTGTTTTTGACTTTACTTCGACCAAACTGAAGACACTTTTTCACTTGAATAATAAACGCATTTCTAAACTGTTCAATATCATAGCTTGAGGGCGCAATTATAGTATATAAATGTGGAATAATTTTATTATTCTGATGTTTAGTTTTTTCATATTTAACAAGAGAACTTTGAGATCGATATGAATAACGTAAATTGGGTAGACAAAGATAGCAAAGATATGTTGAAACCATTTGTCACAATGTATATACAAAAAGTGATTTGTTTATCTGCTGTATTATTATTACGTATATATAAATACTAAATATATATGTAGATCAATTTTTAATTATCACATCTGAAGATCCTGAAATCGTTAAAATCCGCCTATATATATTTTTATTTAACATTTATTTTTTAATAGGTGTTTTTTCGAACTTTTCATCAAAAATATTTATATTAAATGTAAGCAAAAAGATTCCTATAGATAGGTTACTGAATTCACTCCAAATGCTGCAACTACTGCAAATGCTACAACTACTGCAAATTCTATTAATCCAAAAAATACTAACGCTAGCTTAATTATTGGAATCATCATTGGCAGCATCATTTTTTTAGTAATATTTGTAATTGCTACTATTTTAACTTTAAAATTTATTAATCAATATAAATAAATAAGTAATCAAGTTTATTTTAAATACAGTAATATAATAGCATTTAGTTAGCTATGTAGTATATTAGCAGATTTTTAGAATTTACTATTAAAAATTCTAATAATATTTAACTGTGAAAAAGTAACTGTCATGGATCATAATAAAATCAGATTAAAATAAAATAAGGAGTTTCTATTTATTCTCCTAAAATCTACTTGTACTTGTTTATTATAAAACCTACCTTAAAACCTAATCCTAACCCTTAAAAAAAAATATATACCAATAAAGTACACCAGTAATTTTGTAATAAAATCGAATCATCTGATCATGAGATTAATTTTATTGTAAAACAAATTCACAATAATCATGATTTTGGGCTCAACGATTACCTGATATTTCAAACTAGGTAATCTTCACTATGAGTATGGAGATCCTGGCATCAGCCAGATTCGAACCTGTAGTTAGTGCAATCTATGGACCTGCATTCTAACCATTAAGCTATATCAGAATGATCATATAATTTTTAAAATGTATTCTTTATAATTGTCCGGAGCAAAGCGAAGGACTTCTATATGCTTTGATGACTGAAATTACATTTATAATAAAAAGATTAAAAAAGTAGTTTCAGCATTTTCCGTCTGTAATGCCACATGTTTATATTTGTACATTGTATAAAAAAATTATACACGTTTATATGTTTGTGTAATTTGACAATAATAAGCTCTGAACTTAAACTGGTTTCTGGTTCCTAGTCATATAAGATTCTACTTGAATAGTCACATCTGATTGGATGAAATTATTCAATTGTAATTAATTTTTTTTAAAGATATTTTAGTAACCATCTAAAATCAATAAAATTTTTTTTTATTTTAATTATACAGGGATATAGAATCAGAATAAAAAAAATTTTTTTGCTCAAAGTTCAGAAAAAATTTTACTACTTGTTTTAACTTTAAACGAAAATATCTCAACTATCACCTATTTAAAATTGATGAAAATTTTTTTATTTTAATTATACTGGCATATAAAATTGAAATAAAAAAATTCATTGATTTAGATAAATATTTGTCAAGATATCTTTGCTCAAAGTTTGAATAAAACTTTGCTGCAGCTTTTAATAATTATTCAAGTTCTTTCTAATCTTCAAACCGAAAATATCTCAACAATTATCTGTCTAAACTTGATAAAAATTTTTGATTTTAATTATTTATTCATATAGAATCAAAATAAAAAATTTATCAATTTTAAA